GTTTGATCTTCGGCTGACCAATCAGCAGAAAGGGGCGTTTAATTCCCGCCCATGTGTAGAAATCGAATATTCAAGCTGTTTATTCATTTTTCCACCCATGAACGAAAAACGAACATTTAAGCTGAATTTTCGTTTTTCGTAAAAAAAACAAAAAGGAGCCGTTTTCTCATTTTTCTACTTTCAATATTAAATAAAAAAACGAATGATCGAATGATACACGGATTGCTGTACCACTTAAAAATAGTTTTTAATCTCCTTTGGTAATGTCTTATCTCGTCTAGGGTGAGCCAACACCACCTCAGGTATCCTTACCAAAAAAAGAAAAAAAAAGAAAAAAACATTTGAGGTTAGAGGCTACTATACAATACATCAAGTCTTCTTGAACATCTGTAACATGTGGCTTTGCCTCTGGGGCAGAAGTATAAATGAGCAAAAACTCTTTACAATTAAGTGCAATGACCCCCCTCACCCTCCGTCTCTGATTTACACACACATGCGTGTGCAACCCAAAACAGGGCCCCAGCCGCGTGCTATGTACAGCTCCCTATTGTGCTCTCATTTCCTGAAAGGAAAAGAGGAGGCTCTCGCTCTCTCGAATGAAAAAATGACATGTGGCAAGGACTTTGCATTGACCCACGAGATCAGCGTGGGTCTGACTCAAACGTACTATTTTAACAAACCCACTGTTACAGGAAAACGGAAGATAGAAATTTAACAGAAAAAAGCATTCACCCGTTGCAAACGGCTGTATTCATTGGTCTGTCTGCCATTATGAATTATATATGTGCTCTATCTTTTTTGTTTAAAATTGGTGCAGCAAAATTGAAGTCTCTTCGTCTATTTTAAGATTTAATGGACGGTCAGACTGACAAGACAAAACACATGCGATCCCCATCCCTCCCGCCAATTATCGTCAAATAGCTGACGTCGGAGAAAAATGCCGAAAAATAGTACATTTCTGGTCAGAGCAGTCAGGCTGTTTTTGTCAAGGTCAGGCACTGTCAATAAGGAAAATATTTCACGACGAAAAATAATAGACGGTTTGAAACGATTTCGCTGTTGGAGTGGTGGGATGGGGATTTATTTTTAACCGAGCAGTGATTTGAAGTGGGGCGACTACCTCCGTTAATGACAGGCTAGTCCTCGAGAACACAGCTCCGAAACCACAGTGAGCTATAATGGAGCAGTTAGCCAGTGGTACTGGCTCATGAGAGGAGAACAGGGAGCCACTACTCACAGCGCTCACTTCATCAAAGTTACATACGGCACGGAAGAGCTTTGCGCTTTGAGGCCCCTCGACTGCCTCTTAACGCAAGGTGCTGCTGAAGGCCGTCAAACGCTGCATTACATATACTGAAATATACTTTAACAGATAGTGGAAGTGTTTTTGAGGTCAAAGGAAAGGAAAACTGACACACACTTCTCACTTTCCTTCTCTTTTATTATTTTTGGACTTTTTTTGCCGCTTTATTAGACAGAAGAGTGAAAGAGGAGCAGAAAATTATTGAGGGAAAGAGAGAGAACAGGACCAGGACAGCACAGTCGCCCCTTTTCCACCGTAAGATTGCCTGTGCTGGCTTCCACACATTTCCACACCAAAAATTAGAATTTTTTTTTCAAAATTAGATTAATTTAAAAAACTGCCTGGAAACAGGCAAAAACTTCTAGATCTGATAATAAATGTAAATATTATTTAATACAAATTTAAATAATAACAATAAAGAGGTATAAAATATTCTTTAAAATTGGCCCACCTAATGCAAAATATGTGCTACCATAAAATACAATCATATTACTCTGGGTTGTATCCCCTATAAAAGAGGCTCTGGAGCTAGCCTGTTCAATATAAAAAGAGGCTAAACGTTAGTCTAAACCCGAATTTGGAAGAATTTGGCAGTTAATTACCTTACAAACCTCAAATTGAAAGGCCTATTGTTTAAAAGCACAGCTATTTATGAATATCTTTTCAGATAATTTAATACTATTAGCATAGAAGTGCTAAAAACACTTAATAGTTCTCATACTTGGTAACTAAAAGATTAAGAAACACTTATAGCGAGTTATTCAGTGCAGCATAATCATACCTAATCAAACTCGGTTTGATATCACGCAACAGTACAACTAATTGACTGAATTACCAAGGAACATTAGGTGTAACTCTTTTAGCAAAACACAGGCTGCATCGGACTAAAATAGACCTTAATTAACTTAAAGAATTTTTTAAGAAGGTAGGGCTCAAAACGAAACTCACTCAATATCCTTCTTTTATGATGATATTTCAAGTCTGTGCTGCAGAGGGCATTTGAATATCTGCCTGCTGTCATATTGAATGGTAATGCACATTACTTATGGAACACAGCACCATGTCCCAGTTCTCAACTATATCAGCAATGGCCACTGAGGAGACATGTCAAAGGAAACACGGCTTCATTCCCTGAGGTCAACTGGTGAACTCTTATTTTACATCATTTTTAAACAATTATGAAATGCCCTGACAAATTTAATATCGGAGGACTTTTAAAATAAACATCTCAACACTAAATTTTGCCACTAATTCACAGCAAAATCTTTTTACTCTTAAGTGTCCAATGATATGACAGATGTGTCATATTTGCTGTAACCTACCAGTTGAGAACCAGTGATCTATTTAAAAAATAAATAAATAAATTAGATTTAGCCAAGTATAAAAATGACTGGACACAATAATAGAGCTGTAGTCATTCTACATGATATTGTTAATGATTTCCACAGCATCCTTTTAAAAGGAAAACTTGTTTACAACTTAAGAGTAACCAAAAAAAAGAAAAAAAAAAAAAAAACTCTCTGTCTTTGAGATGTTAAACTCTGGCTCGGCCCAGAACAAACAGACTTACCTGGCACCATGGAGCGAAAACATCATTAAGATTTCGCTCTCATCCGAAGAACGGAAATAAAAGAGTGGGACAGCAAACAGAGAGAACTTATCAAAACTGTCTGATCTGATTAGATGCTGACAAAATATGGAGGCTTTGTACAACACAAGCAGACCTCAAGTAACAAGAAAAACAATCCGTCACGTAATAAGCACTGTTGTGAAATCAGGTGGGCTTTTTAGCCAGTCGAGACTATAGTCAGACCAGAGAGGGCCATCTTACACCAGATCTGTGTGTCGAGTTAAGCAAACAGGCTTTTTCCACCTATTCCTTTCAAGGAAAGTTGTGAGATTAATTGGTGTGAGCATGATAGAGTCATATTCGCTGTGTAAAGCCATGAGAGGGTAGAGGGTAGTTTAACAGTAGTGCTCTCTGGCCACTGGCTGAGCAGCTTTGTCACACTGCATTAATTAAACAACTGAAACCATCACTGATTTTCTCCTCCCTAAATATCACAATATCAAAAATATCATCACATCTCCCAACTCTCATTGCATTTCACCTGTATTAGTACTAAAATAGACTAAAAGCCAAAAGTATGTTGACACAGGGTCATAAAATCAAGCATACAGCCATGTGATTGCCTAATACGATCACTTTTAGAAGGTGCATCTTTTCTGTTCTATAGCATGTGTTACTTCTATCTTACTACTGATCATGTATTTTTACTATAACACCGTGTCCTAACTACACGCGCCGCAACACGCGATAAAAGGTATCTTTTCCATGTTAATCGGAGTTTTTGTCCTAACTAGCCGCAACGGCAACACGTGAAATTTGTAATTTAGAAACGGTTTCTATTTCCGCGACGTCGTGGCTGGAACAACAACATACAAATTATATAACAGTAGATAATAACAGGTGATTGTGCTTTATTCAAAGTTAAATGTGTCTAATATGAGTTTAAATACAATTTTGACCTTATAGCCATACTGAAAGCAACAACAGATAGTTTACCTCAGATCTTGAAAATAAATTAAAGCAAAGATGTCCGTTAAAACTGTGAACTCACTGCGAACCAACGAGTGTATTCCATAACAAAGATGTTATCAGTCACTCAGTATGTACATTTAATGATGTTAAAAGCTTTAATATTTATTAAGAGTGCTCCGATCAGGATTTTTGAGGCTGATCACCGATCGCCGATCACAGAAAGCAGTATCTGCCGATACCGACCACCGATACAGATCTTTTTAAAGCCTTCTTTTTTATCATTTATAACTATTTATAGTTATACTCCAATCGGGATTTTTAGACATTTATTCAGGGCCTGAATTTCATTTTTGGAAATGGGGGGAATTCCTATCTTAGGTGACTCTTGTGAGAGGGGAAGCAGCACGGACTGTGCTTTCACACAGGAGTCCGCTACTGATCCGTGGCTGTTTACCACAAACACAACATTTATCCATTATTTTGATTTCAAATCCAAACATTGTCACTGAAAATGCTTTTTCAGCATTGCAATTCTTTTTTTACACAGTACTGTAATACAATTTTTTTTCCCTCGATATTCCAATATTCCACCATACAATAGTCTAATGCAAACCAGTTATACAGCAAGTGTGTCTTGTCTTCATCATGTTTTGGGAATTAATTATTAATTGTACAAAAACTCAAAGCCCGAGGCAAATTATTGATTTTAAAATATAGGGTCAGGTCCATGTATTGTTTTCTGGCTTCAAATGTTTTTTTAAAAAATAAATAAATAAAAATTAGATACATTCTAAAACAGTTTCTAAGATCTATTTTCTACACCACTACCATCACCAGATGGAACTGCAAAAATCATACCTGTTTTCAAACAGGTTTCCCTGAACACTCCCCCCATTTGCAATTGGTTGGTCAAACAAATAGTCCCACCCCTAAACTCACATTGGTTCAGCCAATGCTGCTGTTGTTGGGCAGATTGAGGTGCACAAACAAACAGAAAAATGTTTTCATAGCGCCTCAGAGCCACACTGTTTACATTTTTCAAGGGAAACAACACACAAATAGCTGTTCTGGGGAAAAAGTAAGTGTATAAAATGACACACATCGCCACAGTTTAAGACAATAAATACAAGTAAACCATTTAGGAAGGTGACTCACCTCTGCTTGGAAGCCCTTCAGCAAAGGAGCTATCTGTTTACGCAAATCCTGAAAGACAAAAAAAAAAAACGAAGTTGAACTATTATTTCACTATATTAGATTCTGAGGCGTGTTTGAAATGAATAGACAGCAGGTTTATTTTCCATGTAGCATGTGTGGAACTCAGGATATTGAGAGCAGACAATGCCAGGCATCTGATCACAGACGGAGAAAAATAACTGGGGAAATAATACACAAAATGTATTCAAATGGATATCTTAATTTATCAAATGCCCAGGGCTGATTTTGTTGTCTTCAAAAGAGGAAAAAGCACACAGCCAATGCACGCACATGTGTAAGCACACGCACAAATGCTCTCTAACACAAAAGAGTATCACCTTGTGCTGCTCCTGACTATGGGCAAAGGACCGTGTGTATGTGTGCATTCGTACTCTCTCTCTCGCTCTCTCCTGATATGCCCTCGTTTTTTCCCTTGCACAAGTTCTCCATGACTCAGTCCCCTTTACTGCAAAAGCTGCTCATGCAAAAACAGCGAGAACAAAAAGCAAAGTGCAGAGCCACATGTATGCATATGTTCACTATTGCCATACAGTTGATGCGAAAGATGACAATTAGTTCTCAAGAAAGATTTACAACTGTAATCTATTACTACATCTTGTCATAAAGTTACAGATTGCAGATTACAGTTGCTCTGAGTGATATGAAATTTTCATTTAAAAAGAATCATAAAGAGTAACAAAAAAAATCTCCTCATGGAAAACAAACCGTGTCTTTGTTTCGAGTTCGGATGGCAGCGCACCTCCCTCCTCTTGCGGGCCCTTACAGCAGAGTAATTTTGATGCCGTGGTATTAAAGTATATCAGATTAAGATGAACATCAATGCCTCTTTCATTTGAACATAGGGTGGGTGTTTCAACATGAAATGACATTACACACGGCTGTGAATAAATCTCCGGGCCGGACAAAAAGCCCTCACATTAAAAGTCAGTATAGGAATGCCTACCACGCACAAACACATTACTGAGCGCTGGGGCCGAATAAAACGGCGCCCTGAGTGCTGTAATCGCCAGGACGCAGGCCATTACGCCACTGCGGCATAAAGATATACACATCATTACCGAAGCCACTCACATTTCATTAGCAGTGTAGGAGTCACCATAGCCAATATATTTAATATAATGGGCAAGACAGAATTGGATTTTACAGGAAAAGTAGCAAAAAATCCACCTCTTCAGTCCATCCACTCCAAACTTTCTTTATGGTTTCGTCAAGTGTTGAGTAATGATCAGAATATCAGACAAAGATAATTAATCTGAAAATAAAATTAGTAAATATTTTACTAATACACTTTGGATACACTTGTCTAAATTTAGGTTTGCACGATCTTAATAATATTTTAATCTAAAGATTGCTGCTTAAATATCTCAAAATTAGTTTTGTAAGCAAATATAAATTCTATACTAAATTTCTTTAGAATATTAACATCTTAATTGAATATTTATATTATATTTATTTACATATATATATATATATATATGGGTAGTTGACAAATAGGCAGTAAAAAATGCTTATTTTGTAAAAGACAATTTTTGAAGAAGAAATGCATATACTTATGTAGATTTATCTTCATTGTTAGAGACTTATTTTCATATAGTGTTATTTATTAAATATGAAATTATAATTAACAATTTTTTCCCTTTGACTTGTTGGACAATTTCAAGACAAACTTTGACAACAAGACAAACTTTGCTGTCATCCATTCAAAACTGCTGAAAATTCTACCATTTTAAGATGAGTGATATTTATATCTCCCCTACTCTAACACTCAACTGTTTTATTTAAGATATTTTGAGATAAAAAAACCAAATCTGTGGTTCTATTATGTGTCACACCATAGGACATAACGTCACACAAAAGGACAGAAATGGTAGTTAATAAAGTATTTCTATTTAATTTTGAACATGTCAAAGGAGAAAGAAAATAAATTTTGATACAAACAATGTCAACATGTTTTTTAAACAAAAAATAATGTTTTAATCAACAAAATTCAGTCTCTTAGTCAATCAGCATGTTACTGAATCTCTTCTAGCCCCCCGCTGCATGTGCGGCACAGCTAAGTATGATTGATATTCAAACTATATTCATTAAGATGTGAAAGAATTATTTAAACTATATGGCTACTCTTTTTAATGCATCATTCTCTTAGGATCCCCTCCCTTCTGGTGGATCCCTGTTAATTTTCTGTCTATATTTCTGTGTCCTCTCTTTTCCACTAATTTCTCTCCCTCAATTCTTTCTTTTTCAAAAAGAAAGTATCACATTTTATACTTATTTTCATGACACTTTATAACAGTACAAGTTTTCTGCAAAGACATCAGAAAATAGTTTAATGTAATTATTGCATTTAAGAACATTGAAAATGATTAAAAAAAAAGAATAGAAAGGAGTTAAACAAATCTTATTTAATTATTTAAAATGCTTTTTAAAGAGACCTTGTCCTCTGGTGTGACAACTTTGTCCTGTGGTGTGACAGTACAGGCGTCACACCGGTGGACATTATCTGTCACACCAAAGGACGTTTCAGCCTTTTGTGTCAATTAATGACCTTGCTATTCCGAGCTAACTTGTCTTTAGCAGTTAGCAAGAAACATTTGCATAATTTTCCATGATTATGTAGTAAAAAGTAAAAAAATGTAATTTAGGGGTGTCACACCAAAGGACAACAAAACTTAACACTTTTGTAGCGGTTCCAAAAAAGTTAAATATTTGAACAATTCTGAGACAAAAATTGACCATGTGCACGTCATGGGCTTGACAGGGGGCTTCAGTAACACAACCATGAATGGGATCCTTCAACTAATTAAAATGTTCTCTGGAATTGGCCGATTTAAATCAGGATATGGTGTCACACCAGAGGACATGGTTTTCAGAGACAAAATGTATCAAATTCCTACGTTTTCAGAAATATATGGATGAAAAAACTGATTGCCATTTACTAAAATAGACACATGTACAATTATGCCGGAGGTATTTATTAACATTTTTATGTTTTTCTTTTTAATTTGTAAAAGTTGTCATTTATTGAACCATGCTTGAGACAGTCACACCATAGGACAATTTTGAGATTTGGCTCAAAATTTTAAAATTAAATTACAAATAACACTGCAGATTTTATAACAACAGGTCCATGTAAGACAAAGAAACATTTAAGGATTTACTGCATTTTAAATAACGACAATATTAATTATATTAATTTTTATCTTGTGGGACAGTGAAAACGCCATGTCACGTCAACAAACTTTACTAATTGCTCTGAAATTAGTCTGAAAAGTCATTTAGTTACTCAATAAGTTACTTAATTATTCAAATCGCTAATTAGGCTACACCTTAAAATCCCTATAAACCTTAAAGCATAGACAATAAAAATTAAACTCTTTATTCTTTCAATTTGAGACAAACATAGAATAGTTTAACCTTTTAGATTTAAAACAACTGTAATACTTAAACACTTTTATAAAAAAATTTAACCTTCTTTGGTTAACAAATAGAAATACTCTGCAAAATATCTGAATAACAAAAGAGCTTAAAGGGGTCATATGATGCGATTTTAATTTTTCCTCTCTTTGGAGTGTTACAAGCTCTTGGTGCATAAAGAAGATCTGTAAAGTTGCAAAGACTAAAGTCTCAAATCCAAAGAGATATTCTTTATAAAAGTTCAGAGTCAGCCACACCTACCTAAAACGGCTCGTTCTAACACGCCCCCACATATCTACCTCACTATGTGGGAAGATTTGCATAACGCCGCCCAAATGTTCACGCAAAGAAAGAAGGCGTAACTTTTAGTCTCACTGTAGTTTTGTTGACGCTGCAGCCATTGCATTTAAGAACATTGAAAATGATTAAAAAAAAAGAATAGAAAGGAGTTAAACAAATCTTATTTAATTATTTAAAATGCTTTTTAAAGAGACCTTGTCCTCTGGTGTGACATCTTTGTCCTGTGGTGTGACAGTACAGGCGTCACACCGGAGGACATTATCTGTCACACCACAGGACGTTTCAGCCATTTTCTGTCATTAATGGTTAGCAAGACACATTTGCCTAATTTTCCATGATTATGTAGTTTAACATGCAGTTTTTAATTAAAAAATATAATTTAGGGGTGTCACACCAAAGGACAATAAAACGTAACACTTTTGTAGTGGTTCCAAAAAAGTTAAATATTTGAACAATTCGGAGACAGAAATTGAGCATGTGCACATGTCATGGGCTTCACAGGGGCCTTCAGTAACATGATCATGAATGGGGTCCTTCAACTAATTGAAGTAATACAAATAAAACTAAAAGTTTTCTCTGGAATTGGCCGATTTAAAATCAGGATATGGTGTCACACCAGAGGACATGGTTTTCAGAGACAAAATGTATCAAATTCCTACGTTTTCAGAAATATATGGATGAAAAAACTGATTGCCATTTACTAAAATAGACACATGTACAATTATGCCGGAGGTATTTATTAACATTTTTATGTTTTTCTTTTTAATTTGTAAAAGTTGTCATTTATTGAACCATGCTTGAGACAGTCACACCATAGGACAATTTTGAGATTTGGCTCAAAATTTTAAAATTAAATTACAAATAACACTGCAGATTTTATAACAACAGGTCCATGTAAGACAAAGAAACATTTAAGGATTTACTGCATTTTAAATAACGACAATATTAATTATATTAATTTTTATCTTGTGGGACAGTGAAAACGCCATGTCACGTCAACAAACTTTACTAATTGCTCTGAAATTAGTCTGAAAAGTCATTTAGTTACTCAATAAGTTACTTAATTATTCAAATCGCTAATTAGGCTACACCTTAAAATCCCTATAAACCTTAAAGCATAGACAATAAAAATTAAACTCTTTATTCTTTCAATTTGAGACAAACATAGAATAGTTTAACCTTTTAGATTTAAAACAACTGTAATACTTAAACACTTTTATAAAAAAATTTAACCTTCTTTGGTTAACAAATAGAAATACTCTGCAAAATATCTG